TCCCGTCTCTCCATCATCTCATCCCGTCTCACCGTCCCATGCCATCATCTCATCTCACCATGTCCCGTCTCTCCATCATCTCATCCCGTCTCACCATTGTCCTGTCTCACCATCCTGTCCCATCCCATCCCATCATCCAGTCCAGTGTCTGCCAGACAACTAGAACCATAGCCTAGACGAATTGATATTAAAAAACAATTAACCATCACAGATATATACAACAGCTATGATAACTGAAATCAAATCCCTTCTTTGAGAAATAAAAGTCAACCTTAAAACCTTAGATTTGGTTTCTTCGGGAGCAAGAGTTGCTAAAGAAAAAGATGTTTGGACCTCAAGCCTGGTAAACTCTGCACTGATATCTGATAAGCAGCTATGAGAAGAGAGGGTTTGGTCCTGTGTGTGCAGGGCACCACACCCCAAAAGAGAGACTACATTGCTTCTGTTGAGAGACCCCGATGGCCTCTTACTCAGATGGGACCCCAGAGAGGCTACCAGGTGTGAATGGACATGTGAGAGGTGTTGCCCACCCTTCCACATGGTCTGGGGGTGGCTGTGGCCTCAGGCTTCCCAAGATCCTGGGAGATAGGTTGCCATGGGATCATTACCGTGCTCTGTGCCCACCATGATGGGTGACGGTGAGGGCACTGATGCCACGTGCCATTCCTAATGGAAGGGGGGGAAGGCTTGGGAACCAGTCAGGGAGCAATCTGTGGGATAGGTGAGTCCCTGCCACTTGCTGTTGCTGTGGTCCTTCAATGTGGTGACTGCACCAGCAGCTACCGAGCCTTCGAGTATGGTCCCGGCTGCATAGCGAGGGTGGCACGGGTGCAGGAGTGGTTGACAGGGCATAGGTCCTAACTGCTTGGCAGCCTGAGGGGTAGCAGTGTGTCACGGGGAAGGCTCCAAGCAAGCACCTGGCCCTGCTCCCCTTGGCTCAAGCTGTTGCACCTGACTTGTCCCACACTCTTGCCCCATGCCCCAGGTCCGTACCTGCTGACCTCTGACTCAGTTTACACCTGAGTGCAGTGTCCAGATGTTGATAGCTGCCTGTGACCATTCCAGGGGCCATGTCTAGTGGTGTTGATGGCTATCAGTGACTGTTCTGGGAGCCATGTCTAGCAGTGTTGATGGCTGCTGGTGACTTTTCTAGGGGCCATATCTAGTGGTAATGATGGCTGTCAGCGATTGTTCCAGGAGCTGTCTAGTGAGGTTGATGGCTATTGGTGATAGTTGAGGGTAAGCAGTTGGACCCAGGGCACTGGTCCTGTACTGACAGCACTCAGGACCCCACTCTGACAGCAGGCTGGCACTGAAAACCCTGCATCTGCCCTCCCTGCCCCAGTTGCAATGTGAATGGCAGAAAGAACCCTTGTAGGGCCTACCCTCTTCCTGGGCCCAATGCCTAGGACCCTTGGGCTGGGTGCACTCTGGGCCCTTCAGCTCACTTGAGCCTTGGGCCAGTTTTTCAGATGCCAGTGCACTGAGGCTTTAGGGGCACCGAGGCTGGGCTGCATTAGGGAGAGTCAGAGCAGTGATTGAGGTGGTGCTTGTAGGTGAGAGTGGGCATGAGATTGGAACTCAGATTGGGCTGTTCACACAAATCCACGAACGCACACATGCAACCAGGTGTGCACACAATGCATGAGACTGTTTTATGCTAATACCGTGAGGTAGTCCACCCGGGACAGCAGAAGGGCTACACGGCCACTGGCTGTGTCTAGCTTCACCTCCCCTCCTATCTCCAAGACCTGCCTCCTGTGCTTGATTTGGAGCCAAGCATAGCCTTGAGATCATGGTTCAGGATGACTTAGAATGGAAACCCCTGTTCAGAACATTTGTGTTATTTGGTGTCATTCAGTCCTTGAACATTTCAAAAGTTGTATTTCTTATATTACACTTAATGATAATTCAGTAGTCATAGTAGTGTTTTCACTCCTTCCTGTAAAACACTGGCAGAGACATGGGAACCCACCACACCCTCCCCTGTACTGACTCACACAGACAGTGGGTGTACTCGGTGTAGACATTGACTCACACCCTCAACTGTACCAAGTCCTGCACACATGCTGGGTGAGTGTACTCAGTGTAGACGTTGACACAGGAGACTATCACACACCCTCAGCTATACTGAGCCCTGCAC